CCAGTCATCACTATCTCTAGGCTGTATTATCACAGTAGCATCCTAGCTGTTCTCCCTGCTTCTTCCCTTGGGATCATACAGCCATAGTCTATTCTATAAAAGGGAGTCAGAGTGATTCTTTAAAACAGTATCTCCCTCCTAGAATATAAGTTTATTAAGATAAGGGCATTTTGCCCGTTTTTCCTTTCTTTTTTTCCTACTGCTGCAGAAAAGTTTCTATTACAATAAGAAAGTTTAAGGAAAAGGAGGTACTAAATAAATAGTTATGAAATTAATGAATGAATGACTCATTTCATTTCACATCTAGAGGTAAGACTTTCCATCTCAGTGAAATACAAAACATTTATTATAAACAAATTAAATAATGAATTAAATAAGCTTTTTAGAAAATATTCTATGTGTTACATAGTAAAAGGTTCCAAAGATACAAAAATGATTAAAACACAGTTATTCCCTTGAGTATGGCACAGGAGAATAAGACTTTCATAGCAATTCAAAATTATAGTCTATGAAGTAGTCAACCATATTGTAGGAACATTTTGTCATCTTTCAGAAGATAATTAATAATAAGGTGAAAAATAGGATGATGAATACTACAAAGGATTTAAAATATGTGATTTAAAATAACACATTTAAAGTATGTGATTGAATTAAATTTGGTGTACATAGACTACCAATGTACTGCTTTAAAAATTTTGTTATAAATAACAAAATCCCAATTCAAATACATTAAACTGATACCAGATTTACTGGTCCATGTAATCAAATAATTTGTAAGTAGTCTTGACTTTATGCAGAGTGAGACTGATTCTGGCTTTTTAAAAATCCTCTCAGCCTTACACTTATGTATATTTTGGCTGTGTCCACTTGCTGGATTTCCTGATGGTTGTCAGATGGCATCCAGTAGCTCAGCTACGCTGTTCAAGACAGTTTTTTGATGTCACTATAGAGTTTGACGTTTTACATTCTTTTAAAATCTCCAGCAGGAGATTCTGTTTTGTAGACTTTCTGCCAAATGGTTATTTAAGGTATCAAAGTGCAAAAAAGTGTCAAATTTACTTTAAAACAAGTTTGCTTTCCTGTGTCTAAACAAACAAAAAAAGGGTTAAAAAACCCCACTTCTTTCACCTTTGTAAACAGAGAGCAATGATGGTAGAGAAAATTCTCTAGTTTCTGGTCTCCCATTTCTGTGTCACGTCCTAATGCTGGAAATGGGAAAAGATCGCCTTACCAAAACATTCACTATGGATGACCTCATTGTCTAGCCAGTGCCGACTCTAAAGGTTACACCACTCTTCTGGTCAAACCCTTGTGTAGCTTCTGGGTCTTTGTGTATTTGAGAGCCATGAAAACTCAGTGTGCAGCCTTCTTACATCATCATAGTGTAATTACATTAAGAGTCACTGCTTCCTCTTAGAGGATACATCAAGGATCTGCTTCTCAGGAGCCACAGATAGGGAGACATCCAACCTATCACAGTCTCTGAGATCTGATCCTTTTTTCACCCCCTCCAAAGACACCTATCTCTCCTATTTCCCTCAGCATAATCCTCTCTAATGTCTTATAACTTGCAATTCATTATCTTAACCTCTTGTACATTGCTTTGGACAGTACTGGACAGTTTCTTCCAAGATGCTTTCTTTTCATCCTCATCCATCCTCTACTGTATTTCAGAATGCTGACCTGTGACTTCTGCCAGGTCCTACTAATGTGCTATACTAGCAGAAAGTCAGAGGTGAGAGGAGAATAAGGTCAGCTATTCATTTCCTCTACTCCCACACTGACAGACTGTAGGTTGTCAGTAACTGTGTTTACATAAGTTCATAGTTCATGTCAGAATGTTCTATACTACAGCTACAGTTCTCTCCCTGGTTTCTATTAACTGCATTCTTAGCTTTCCTTTCAGCAGTGTGGAAGGGAAACAGCTCCACACTGTTCCTAAATTCGGGATGATCAATCACACGTTGCTGTTTTCCTTTAGCCCTTCTCAAATCCTTTATTCTTTTCATTCAACTCTTCTGGATTATTCTGAGTGAACCACAGCTGGTTTCCTTTGAATATTCAGACAACCTTTTCAAGCATTCTTCTAAATAATTTCTTTCATTTTCAGCAATCACTGTATCTCCCAAACTGCACTTGATTTAAAAAATTTTAACCAATGTATTGATTCCCTGGCTAAAATATTCCTCAGTCATGTCAGAAAATCACCAAAGTTCTACCTGTCTGATTACTCTAAGGCATCAATTATCCATTTTCCATTTTCCACTAGGGTCCACTTGTACACCACTTGCTCCCAGCAATGCTATTTATGATGCTTCACTACTGCTACTTATTGCTCTTAAAAATGACTTTTTTATACCAAGTTCATAGACATCTAAAGGTTTCAATAGTCTAGGTGTTGAGAGAAATGGTAGTTTATAGATACAAGTAAAAACTGACTCCTTTCTGACACCGTGTTGCTTGTGGTCACTAGATACCAAATAAATTCTTATAACTAACGGTTTACTCTCTTTCTCAAGGGGCTCATTTTGTTTCAGTTCCTCTCTCATCTAATCATAGGAATTCAGATCTAGTCCATATGCTTAAACAGAGAAACTGATACCATCATCAGTATTCTATTCTCCTCACTTCACTTCACTCCTTCTCAACCCCACATTTTTTTTCTCCCAAATTCAGAATACAGAGGAAACACTTGGGTTGAAGTGTATGGATGTAGGAGGGAAAGAAATAAGGAGGGTTTTCAGCATTAATGCTGTCTGAGCTCAGCTCCTCTTAACCAGTAATTCTTAAAGTATGGTCTCCAGAACAGCAGTTGCAGCATCACTTGAGAATTTGTTAAAAATGCACATTTGCATTCCCCATCCCAGATTTATTGAATTAGAAACTCTAGGGGTGGGAAATAGCTGTTTGTGTTTTAAAGAGCCCTTTAGGAGATTCTAATGCAGCTAAAATGTGTTACAGCCAAAGTGTGAAAATCATTAATCTAGGGGAAAAAATACCTTTTAAGATAGCTATGCATGGATAAATTGTTTTTTTTTTTATTTAAAGGTATTTTAGTTGCAGCGCTTTCATTTTTCTTATTATTTTCAATCATTCCCTTAATCTCCTTTGAGACAAGAAAAAAAGGCTCCAAGACTATTTTTTGTCATTGTTTCAACTTCATGCTTTATTAATTTATATTGATTATGTCTTTATCGTTTCTTTGAGTCAGAGGTAGAAATGTGTTTGACTATCAGTGTGAGTTTAGGGTGTGGGAATCTGGGTACTGGAAATTCAGGTCTTGTGTTACACATCTGTATCACACTCCTACTTATTTCTGAGGCTTAGGTTTTCACTCATCATTCAAATTAGACTTGTTATTTGAGTCTTGTTGAAGCAGTTCTGTTTTTACACTCCTCTTCACTTTCCTTATAGTTTACCTTCCATTAATAAAGAGTCTTATTTAACCAAAGAAGGGGACCATGTTTTTATTTAAGTAGATTGGAGATAAGCACAATTTTTGCCAATTCTTGAAGAATGTGGTAATTTCAACAACGAGAACACATATCGTGGGGCTCACATTAATTTCATGAGTAAGTTTGCTTCAAAGTTGTTACAACTAGCCTACCCACGTGACATGTTTCATCCATCTCAGGGAAACCTAACTCGAATTTCTACAGTGTTCATCCTATCTAGCACATGTTTAACAAAGCATTCAAGACCAAACTCCATAATTTTAAAATTAAGTCAATTAATTAATAATAGAACAATCAATTGAGAGTTGGCAACAATGCTATCTAGCTTTCCTGTTGATGATGAAATTTAAGACAAAGCCTTCTACATAACCACAATAATGCTAAAAATAAGGGCCAATAATATCATCATACTTAATAAAAAATGAAATCAATATTATATATGTGAGTGTATATTTACCCATATTTATAAAACACTACCCATTCTTTTAAATGATCATTTTTCTAAGTATATTTACAAATATACTTGCACTATAAGGCTCAGAGCTAGAAATTATAAATTAAAAAGTCAATATTTTTAAAAGAATAAAAATTGAATTTATTGATAAATTAATATATGATTGAATGCATATACAAATTTGTGTGGACTGGTTAGATCTTCTAAGATATTGATATAATGAAGAAGCTTCTCTTCACTTTCTCTTGAAAATGTCACATTTTAAAAGCTTAGTATGTTTTTTCAACTTTGCATTTAGATTCCTTTTGAAATTGATGAAAATTCTGTCCTTTGTACATCTGTAATGTGTATGCATATTGTTTTCTTTCAGTGTGTTTAAGGCTTTCCTGTATCATAGCTTATAATTTTCTGCTTTTATGAATATTCTAAAATTTTGAGGCTGTTTATTGCCCTTCGGTAATGCCCAACAGAACTTACTTTAAGCAGCCAGATAAAAGTCAAGCAAGTGTGAAGAGTACAAATTGTACTTCCTAATGGTGTGAGAAAGTATCCATAAAGCTATTTGAAATGGACTAAAATTCTAAGCCCGGAAAACTAGGTCACTTCTGTCATTTACAAATGGGTAATTTTTAGCAAATTCTTATTTAAATAAAGCACTATTTCCCCAAATCCTGCCTAAAGACCCTAACTAAAAACTATCAGCCGAGGTCTGCAAATTAAAGGGAGAGATGGTTTACTCTATACTTCTAAAATATAATAACAACACTGTCTGTGTATATCTACTATATACTTTTAGTTATCTCTTTTTTATACACCTTCAAATACTATTCAGTTTTTCTAAATATCTGTTATAAAACAAATATATGTTTTATAACTGTTGACCAAATTATGCCTGAGAATATCTCAAGTGTGTATTTAAAACAAACAATTCATAAAACCCCAATTAAAATGTTTCTACTTCTACTCGAAAAAGAATATTAGATGCCCTTAAATAAAATTTAAGCTTAAAATAGAACATTGTTTTATTTTTGTTCACATGGCTTTAAAACCCATATATTTTGTTCAAAAAATAAGAAAGTAATTAATCATACCTGCAATGATAATCTTTCTCAAATTTTGTACATGTGGTATTATCCTTGCAAGGAAATGACTCCTGTGGTGTTTGAAGTTGTTTCTTACAAAGCTTGCCTGTAAATATTGGTGAACAGATGTACATGGTGTCCTAGGAAAGATCAGAAAGTATTTTTTATAAAAGTTTTTGGATATTTCAAAGGAAATGAAATGATTCTTATCTGGAGAGACATAGAAGCTATTTTCATAAGCATATAGAAGTTCTCTGTGGAACAACATGAAAGATTATATTTTCTAAAATGTCACAACAGTGTATCCCATCTCATACACTTTTCCTACCACTTGAATGTAACATTCCTTAAACTGAGAATTAGAAACTATCACTTTCTCCTCCTTGTAGGTAAGCAAGCTGTGATGCTCTTTCATTTTCAAGGCTATGTTGAAAAGGCCAGATAATGTCTGTCTAATTATCTTAGGATGCTTGCTCTTGGCACCCAGAGCTGTGAGGAATGCTCACAGCTGTGAGGAAACCTAGGCCTTACAGAGAAGTTACATTTAGGGTTCTGGATTGATAGCTCCAGTAGAGGGCCCAGTTGACAGCCAGCCAGTAGCAACCACCAGACATGTGAGTTAGGATGCTTTGAAGATATTAATATGAAATCATAATACAAATTCAATATGGATCTTATAAAAATAAAAAGTGGATTGTGGAAATTATTACATTATTTCCTAGTCTTATTTATTAAAATGTTAAAATATAAAAATATCAAATATACAAAATATTAAAAAGGAATAACAAAAAATGAAATGTTTACAAAATTACATTATTACATTACATTACATTACATTACATTACATTACATTACATTTTTTAAAAATGTTTAGTTACTTAATTTAAGAGAGAGAGAGAGCGAGAGAGCGTGAGTGAGAAGGGCAAAGGGAGAGAGAGAC